TCCAGTTCTTTGCACACTTTGTCTTCCTAAGCTTCCCTTTGAAATCTGTTCAACTCCTTCCTTCCTGTTTTTTTCTCTTTACTTTGGCTTCTTGGTGTTAAGAGTCTCTTCTGTTATCCAACTCAGTCTTTTCTTCCTCTTCTGTCTTTGTAATAAACTTCTGTATTCTTCATGGATGCTATCCCTGATATCCTCCCATAGCTCATCTGGTCTTTGTTCATTAGTACTGAAGGCCTCAAATCTGTTTCTGAAATTTATTTTTAATTCAGGACGGACAGACGTAAGTTCAAATTGTGGTTCCTGTGAATCTGATTTAACCTTCTTTTGCTTTAGCTTTGAACTTGCAAAGCAGTAGTTGATGGTCTATTCCATAATCAGCACCTGGCCTAGTTTTCATTGCTGATACTGAACTTCGCCAATGATTTTTTCCCTACAAATATAACAGATCTGATTCCTGTGCAGACCATCTGGTGAAGCCCATGTTGCCATTTATGATTCTTATAAAAGATATTTGCAATAAATAAATCATTGATTGTACAAAATTCTATTATTCTCTTCCCTGTCTCATTTCTGTCACCATGTCCATGTTTTCTAACTACTGATCCTTTCCCCCTGTATTCTTGGCACTAGCATCCAGGAAATAAAAAGACAAAGTGCACTGGGAAAATCTGCTGTCAGGGACCTCTCCAGAATACCGAGAAGCAAAGATGTCAATCTAGAGACAAAGATGTGCCTGATTCAGATCATGGTCTTCACAATCACTTGCTATGCATCAGAGAGCTGGACAATGACTAAGGATAACCGAAAAACTGATACCTTTGAGTGTGGTGCTGGAAAAGAGTCTTGAACACACCATGAATTGCCAAGAAGGAAAAACAAGTCTGTCTTGGAGAGGGTGAAATCAAGTTTCTCCTTGGAGGTTAGGATTTTAATGCTCCATTTCATATACTTTGGGCACATGGCAAGGAGGGACCAGTCCTTGGAGAAGGACATCATGGTTGGAAGGATGGAGGGACAGCACAAGAGAGGAAGGCCCCAGATGAGATGGATTTTAACAGTAACTGGGACAATAGCGGTAGGTGTGTCAGAGTCAGTGAAACTGACTTAGGACAGGGCAGGCATCAGAACTGCTGTACACAGGGTCGCTATGGGTAACAGGTGACTCGACAGTACTTAGGACAATAACATGTAAATCTTATTTCCTATCTATTTCACCACTTCTCATTCATATGATTGTAAAACACATCTCCAGTATAAATTTTCTCCCACAGAGCAGCTAGTAGGTTTGAACTGTGTACTTTTGCATTGGCAACACAATTCCTCACCACTAAGCCACCAGAGCTCCCTTCAAAATACTTATGACCCATTAGTTATAAAATCTATATCAGGAGTATAACTCAAAATAAAGATACATCTTGTGAGTTATACTTACTTAAAGCCCTGGGATTCACAATACTAAAAAATAGGAAACCAACTAAATTACTCTCAATAATGACAAATAGGTACTATTACTCATATTGCTGTTATGTCAGATCCAATGCTAGTGGCTCTTAACACTAGTGACCCTCTAGTGGCTCTTCAGAGGCTAGAAATTATCAGGTGATGACTAGCTGTCTTTTAAGTGAGGAGCAGCTGGAAAATTCGAACCATGTGCCGTTAGGATGGCAGCACAAGTCTTTACCCACTAGGCCACCAGAACTCCCTGCTGACTACATAAACATTCTGTTGCAGATAATTCATTTCAGCCTCAAGTCTTACACTCTAGCACTGTTTTTTACAAACTTTCCCTAAATTGTTTTCCATTTTTTATGCCTTTGTGTACTTGCATAAAACTATTCCATCCTGAATAACACAAGCCCTTTTGTTATAACCTCCAAATTTATTCATAAACAGAAATAATCTGAAAAGAATGGTTTCATGTTTCTGAAATATCACTAAGTGGGGAACAAAAAGAAATCAAAATAAAACATAAGATATAATGACAACATTATTTAAAACTATGAGAAAAATACCCAAATACACAAAAGTGTTTCAAATACTCTTCCTCTCCTACTATATCCTATTTGCTCTATTTTTCCAATTTTTTTTAATAGTAAATAAGTATTTCTTTTGGGGCATGGGGACGAAAACAAAGCATTTCTAAATATAGCTGAGAAAGTATTTATTTGTAAACAATTGTTCTACTAAGCTATTTGAATAGGAAACAATGACTGTTTTGTGATCAGAAAAATTAACTGAATAATCAACAGCAGAATTAGTTGACTATTAAGAATTAATCATCTACAGTTTTATGCAAAACTCGTCATTATTTATGTGCTTTCTTCCAATGTGCAAAACTAAACAGAAACATTAAAAAAACTTCTGGGGGAAAAACACATTAAACATGAATTTTTTTCTAGTTCATATAATTTTTTTAAGCTGATTCATGACTAATAACATCATTTACAGTTTAAAAGACTATTTAATTCAGGCTTAAAATTAGATCAACACTACCCAAAAGTAAAATTGCCAACACTGTTTCTTAGACATAGTTTGTTTTGGTCCTTTTTTTTTCTTAAGCATGTTTTATTTTGGGCCATTTAAATGCATGTAATTATTCAAACATTTTCTAATACTTAATCTTTTAAAAATATTTTCACATTTTAATAAGAATGACTAGACACAATTTTCATTTTATGGAGGTGTATATCTTAAAATTATATAAATAAACTAAGGTATCTAAACAGTACTTCAAACGAAATTGCACTTAAATCATTTATACCTTTTCTCTAGTATGTCTAAGTCCCACTTCAAATGTGCTGCAACTTTAAGAGCAAGTAATTTTAAAATACGATTTCTCTTGTTATCAGGCGGTGGCTGAACCTGGTTTTGTTCATTAACTGAAGGTTTGGAAGCCTGTTCCAAAAACTGAACAATAAGTTGAACTGGTGCAGGATCTAGGATTTAAAGGAAAAGACATTCTTAAAATTATGCTTTGGTTATGATCATGATACAGAAGATTCACTTGTATTTTTTTTAATCACAAAAGGAATACAAATAGCTGTGTAGATATAATAACTAAGGAATACGGGTTTGTGCTTTAGGAGATTAAAGGGAAAGATCAAGACTGCAAAGGTGAAAGGGTTAGCAGATAAAAGCAGAAGGCAAGAAAGAACTTTACAGGGAGCTCTGGTGGCCTACTGGCAAGAAGCTACACTGCAATCCCATAGGTGAGCGGTTGGAAACCACCAGATGCTCTGCTGGAAAAGGAGGGACAATCTCCTCCTGTACCAGTCAGATCGAATTTGACAGCAACACACACACACGTACACACACACACACAAAAGAATAAAATAAAATTTTTTTTAAAAAGGCATTAGGAAAAAAGAAAGAACTTTACAAGAAAGAACATTTACCAATAAGCCTCATAAGCATTGACCAATAAGAAGCACTTTATAATCAAAGAGTATTACCAACAAGCATCTCCTCAAAAAGCTGGAAAGAGAAATACCTAGCTATCCTATTATTGCGAATATACCCTAAAGAAACCAGAGCTGTGACACAAACACGTATGTATGTACACCCATATTTACTGTTGCATTATTCACAACACTGAAGGGATAGAAGCAGCCCAAGTGCCCATCAACTAAAGAAAGGATAGGAAAAAGTTGTGGTACAGTCACACAATTGAATACTATGCAGCACTGAGAAATAACGGACTTGTTAAACATTACACAACATGAATGAGTCTGGAAGACGTGCTGAGTAAAATATCTCAGCCACAGAAGGACAAATACTGCATAATACAAAAACAGTAAAAGAACGTGGGGGAGAGAACAGGAAAAGAATAGATACAATACACTGAAACAAGTGAAGGGAAGGATTATCTTAAGAGAAACAGATGATGATACACTATATGTATGGCAATTGACCCTCTAGAACAACAACACGGTGCATTATTACAAAGTGAACTGAGGGAGAGAGGGAGGAAAATGTGTATCAATGAATGAATGAAAACTCGAACTTTCTGTATGTAAACTTTCACTAAAACCAAACTTTTTGAAAAATAAATAAAAAGGCATAATGTAGTTGGCAAAACATTACCTTCACACAAAGCCACGTGATGGAAGCATTGGTCAGACTAAACACACAGTACTTGAACTTGACCCTATGAACAAAAAGGCTGTCTACGGTTTTATCTTTTTATGTCAGTAGGGCTTTCCAGAAATGTCTGGAGACCTCCTTCTTGCCAATAACAGCGATTTAAGTGGCATGTTAATAATAAAATAATAAATGAGCCATCGTTTCTATGTATAGCATTTTCTTTGCAAAATTTTAATTTGCAGCCCGACTGTGAAATATAATCAGTCTCAATGACGAATACAGCAGTTAAATAAGAATTTAAGATAAAACTGAGTCAGGATCAGATAAATTACTTAAGGGGTGCTAGATCCCCCCATGTCTCCAAACGGGTAAAAGGCGAGCTCCGTAAAGACAAAGGGACGGGCAATCTGGATCCGAGCCACCCTGGACACCCGACCTGCAAGTGCTAAACCCTGCAAAGCGGCCGAGGGGCAGCGCAGACGGACGCGGGCACCCCCGGCCGAGCACCGGGCTTCGTATGGATTCCCCGAACCCGAGGCCGCTGAGAACCGCAGGGTGGATGAGCTGCAGCGGGTAGTCTCCGCGGACAGCCCCGGCGGGCGGCCCCCGCGGACAGCGGCGCTTACCCGGGCAGGGCTTTCGCAGATGTTTCTCCAACAGCGACTCCTCCAACAGGAACTCGAACCAGCAGGTCTGCGGCGGCGTGCAGGGCCGGCTGGAGGTGGCCGCCTCCCGGTCCGCCGCCTCCGCGCTCATCCTGCCGCCGCCGCCGCAGCTCCCGGGGACGCTTCCCGGCTCCAACCTGACACCTGGACGCCAGCTGGGACGTGAGACCTGCGGACGGGCCCGGAAGAAGGCCGCGTAGCACCTTGGAGACGAGCACGCTTCGCAGTTCAGAGTCACACTCACGATCCAAAATGGCGGCAGCGCGCTCGCAGACTTTTGAGCCCTGGTCCCGCCCCCTGTAGCCTCGCGGCGCCTGTGGACCAATCGCTCCCACGTGAGGCCAGGGGGCGGGGCTAAGACGCCCCCTCCAGGGGGCTGCTGCAGACGCTTTTGCAGCGAAGCCGCATCTCCGGTGTGTTTTTCCCGCGTGTGCAACAGAGTAGGAGCTGACCGATAGCTGACCCTTCCAGTGAGTTTTCAGAGGCAGTAAATCACGCGGGAGGAGTTTGCCCATCCTTCTCCCGCAAAGTAGCTGGTGGATTCGGATGAGATGACTAGAGAACGAAATAGCCGCAACTAGAGTTGCAAAAGGGCTCAGAGTCTTCCTAAAAGAGTGAACATGATAGATTTAGCTTAACTGCAATGACTTGTACCTTTCTCTTCGCAGGCAAGTCAGAACCGACTCCTAGCTGACCCTCAGGAGGATGAAAATCAATCCCACAGAGCGGATGGTGGAGTCCAGCTGACATAGCAGCCTGGCCTTTGAGTTAGCAGCACAGTTTCCCAAGGACGGTGCCACTGAAGTCCCAAGTTTACGTTTGTTTGTGCTTTCCGTTTCTCCAGTTAAGTAATTTCCCATCAGCAAACTAGGTGCTTCCTAGGGAGCTCTGGTGGCACAATCCATACAGAGATGCACTATTTCAAATGTCTCTCAGCTCCTGCAGTTCGAATCTACCAGAACTTCCAAGGAAGATAGAAAGTCTCCTTTACTGTTGCTGGTGTTAGGTTCAGTCAGTCTTCGGAGCCACCCTATCTGAACCTTGCCCTGTTCTGCCTTATCCTCATCTTCTATAGTATGATCAAGTCCATTGTTAGTCATACCACAGCTCAAAGGCATTGAGCCTTCTTCTGTCATCCTTATTCATTGTACAACATTCAGATACAAAGGAAGCAATTGATAAAGCTATCACTTTGGATCAGGTGCATTTTTTTCCCCAAGATTTAACAATATAAACTTTATTTCTTCATCATTACATTCTTAATTGAAACGGGCATTACATTTTTCTTAACTAATTTCTGTGTGTATAATTTGGCTTCTAACTTGATTCAAGCTAAAAAAAGAAAGCTTTTAGTCTATGTTTCTTTGCATAAGGAGCACAAATAGCAACAACATATACAGTAGACTTTTAAGGCAACTGCATTTGATAATGGATAACTAGATAGAAAGTTAATAAACTTTGAGTAACTGTTAACCAGTTGGGCCTAACACATATATAGGCTGCAACTATGTAACAGAACTTCAATATATGTTCTATTCCACTGCACATTTATCATTCTCCAGAATAAACCATTTAAGATACAAAATAATAAAAATGTAAAAAACCAGTGAGTTGTAGAAAAATTTAAAACTAGTCAAAATGTAACAAAATCTTTGGGACACAGGATGAGATTCATCTAAGCCTTCAAATTAACATTCATGCTCATTAGCATTCTGGAGAGATCCTTGAGGGCAGTTTCCCCCAGTGCAACATGTCTTAAACTTCATCATTTACAGTCTCAGAAAACCAGAGAGCTGCTGAGTCTGTACCAACCTGCACTACTGTCACCTTTCAGTTCTTCATAGTAACCCAAATGAGGACAGCCTACAATAAGATTCAGCCCCTCTATTTCACAGAACTAGCTTTCAATCTACCACTCTTGTGTGAACTTGAAATCCCTTCAGTTTGAAGTGGATAAAAAAAAATGCCATGGAGATAATTGTTGGGGCCTAGCTAACTTGTAAATCAAGATTAGCCCTGTACCAAAAGACCAGCAAGACTAATTCTATCTTGGCTATAGTATCTGCTTGGCAGAAAACAACTCAAGGAAGCAGGATGTCAAAAAAGTGAGCCATACTGCAGCCATAAGCAAGTAGTCATTTCATGCCAGATTCAAATGAGCAGATGTTTGGAAAGGAGCAAAAACAAGTTTAACTGTTCCTTGAACCCCCAGGCCAAACAGGGATGTGCAGAATGGTATGATGCTCCCTAAAGACTCTGTTCTGATGGCCTTGCTTGCTAATTGGAAGCCTTGCTTGCAGGTGGCGGGGATATAAAAACAAATGGATTGTTGGCCTTGAGGCTGAGCTGTTTTTCTTTTCACTCCAAAAAGGATATAACACAGAAGTTTGGGAGTAAACTTTGCTATCCGCCATCAGCCGGTAGCCTCTTTGCGTCTTCATTTAATACTCATCCCTTCTCTGGGTGAAACTGCTTGATATAATGAGGTGGGACCCCGTTAGATAATATTTCTAATAACTAGTAAATAGAACACAACAGTTAGTAACAAAGAATAATTGGTAGCTGAAAAATAGTTTTTAAAAAAATACTGTTTTTGTGATCAAATAAGGTGAGAATTCATGATGACAGAATTTTACATGATCAGTGATTTGATTGCAAATAATATTTTTATTAATTTTAATGATAGTTTACAGAGAATTAGGGTTTCCATTCATTCATTGTTGCCGTTTTCTCCCTGCCCACCTCCACCCCCCCATTCATTCTTCTCTTCGAAAAGTAAAATTCTTTCATTGTTATATAATCCCTCCTCCCAAGTCCACTCCACTGTGCAGCCTTCATTCTGGACTCTTGTAATGACAATAATATCTAATAATGTATCACTTTTAAACAGTTCTTTCCCTCGTCTGTTTCAACGCAGTATACATTATTTATTCCCTCTTTGTCACTCTCCTCCCAACCCCAATGTCAGTCCTGTTTTACAACAGTGGCACTATGCACTATTTGTCCTTTTGTGACTGAGATGTTTCACTCAGCATAATGTCCTCCAGGGTAACCCATTTTGTATAACATTTCAAGAGTTCCTTGTTTTTCAATGCAGGACAGTATTCAATTGGGTGAATATACCAGAACTTCTCTATCCATTCGTTTGTTGATGGGCACTTGGGTTGTTTCCAACTCTTTGCTACTGTGAACAAAGCCACAATAAACACAGGTGTGCACATATCCGATTGCAAATAATTTTTTTTTAAATGGTTACTACACACAGAGTTAGACTTGTAGAATATAGAGGAATCAAACTGACTACATCTGTGGAAAGGGAAGATGGAGAACCTAAATATCATCAGTCCAAATAAGAGCAATGGTGGAATAGATCATCAGTTGATGATGAACTATGCAAGTTCAAGTTGAAGCTAAAGAAATTTAAGTCCATGAAAGCCAACACAATTTGAGTATATTCCACTTAAGTTGAGAGACCATCTCAAGAACATACCTGATGCTCTCTTCCTTTGCCATCAAGTCGGATCTGGCTCAGAATTTGACACTCAGTGGGTTTTCAAGACTATAAAGCACACAGGAGATTGTCCATCATTCTCCTACGGAGCTGCTGATGGACTCAAACCTCTAGAGTAGTGTCACCTTTGGATTAGAGTGTAATTCATACAGACTGCACTCCATGCATGAAATACTAATGAACAAACACTCAACAAGTGGAGGGATAATAACAGTAATATGATTCTGAAGAAAGCAAAAAGTCATTTAAAAAGAGGAAGGAACAAAGAAAGATGGGAGGGAGGGAGGATGGGAGGGAGGGAAGGAAGGAAGGAAGGAAGGAAGGAAGGAAGGAAGGAAGGAAGGAAGGAAAAGACTGAAACAGGTATCAGAAGATATTCTGAAACTTGATCTTAGAGAAGCTAAAGCAAAAGGAAGATAGATATGATGACATAAAAGAACTGAATACAACATTTCAAAGGGCAGTTTGAGAATACAAAACAAGTAGTCACCAAAGCATATAAAGACCTGAAGCTAAGATACCAAAGGGGAAGACCACACTTGGAATTTCTCATGATATAACAGAAGGAAAAATCCAAACTTTGAGCAGCAAGACTGAAGGATTCGAGGAACAAGATGTTGAATCATGTAGGAAGTTTCAAAAAGGATGGAAGAAATACCCAGAATCACCATACCAAAAATAATTGCTTGAAATTATAAGGTAGCATGTGATTAAGAATCAGTACTACTGAAGGATTAAGTCCAAGCTGCACTGAAGGAATTGGTGAAAAAAATAAGGCCTCAGGAATTCAAAGAATATCAATTTATGTGTTTAAGCGAAGAGATGCAGCCCTAGAAGTTACCACTCATCTATGCCAAGAAATTTGGAAGACAGTTCTCTGGTCAAATGACTGAAATCAAAGACCCATAAATGTGCTTTTTTAAAAAAGAAAAGCAAAGGGGGGACTCAACAGAGTATAAAAATTCTTGAATGGCATCATTAATATCACATGCAAGTAAAATCTTGCCAAAAATTATTTTCACATGGCTGGAGCAGTACATTGACATAGACCTGTCAAAAATTCAAACTGTAGTAATACATCTCCTGGTAACTAATAAGGCAACTGCTGGTCCAGCCAATGCCTTTTTCCCCCATTCAAATTTTGAAAGAGAATCCACTAAAAGGAGGAAATACCTGACAAAGGACTTGTATCTAAAATTCAGAAAGAACTCTTAAAACTCAGTAATAACAATCCCAGAGGTACGTGGTTCAAATGCACTAGATGCTCTGCTGGAGAAGGAGGGACAATCTCCTCCTGTACCAGTCAGATCCGATTTGACGGTACACACACAAAAATAATAAAATTTTTAAAAAATTTTAAAAACCTCCAGTAATAAAAAAGGATAATTCCATTTTAAAATGGGCAAGAGAGCACAATAGACACTTCTCTAAAGACAATATAAATGGTAAATAAGCACATTATTTTAAAAATAAGCATAAAATTGAAAAACAAGGAATTCATGAAATATTATACAAAATGGGTGACCACGGAGGGCACGATGCTGAATGAAATATCTCAGTCACAAAAGGACAAATACTGCATAATGCCACTGTTGTAGAGAGGGTCTGACATCGGAGTTGGGGGGAAACTAAGAGGGTATCAATAACAGATACTGCGTTGAAACAAATGAGGGAGAGAATTGTTTAGGATGAATAAATGATTTGGTTTTATTGTCATGACGAGAGTCCAGAATGAAAACTGCATAATGGAGTGGAGTGGCGTGGACTGGGGGGTGTGAAATAATTTTTGTTTTTTTACTTTTCAAAGAGAAAGGCAAACTGGGGGGGGAGGGGTGGGCAGGAAGGAAAGTGTGCAACAATGAATGAACAGAAATCCAAAGTCTCTGTAAACTTCCACCAAAATAAATAAAAAAGCACATGAAAAAGATTTGCTGTACCATTAGGCATCAAGGAAATGCAAGTAAAACCCATAAGGGGATACCACTTTACATCTACTTAAAAAAATTACTGCTGTTTGGTCAGAACCTGTGCATTAGCTGACCCTCCAGCAGATGTGCTGATTGTAGAGCCAAGCAAGATGAAATGATTTTATTTCTGTCTATTCCCTATCATGGTGATACTGCCTGTTGGCCCACTTGTAAGGACTTTTATTTTCTTACTGTTAAGATGTGACCCATATTGAAGACTGTAGTCTTTGATCTTCTGTGCAAGCACTTCAAGTCCTCCTCACTTTCAGCAAAGTAAGGTTGTGCCATCTACATAATGCAGATTATTGATGAGTCTCCTTCCAGCCCTAATGTCAACTGATATTCCATGGATTCCTGGGCCTTATTTTTCGGTAATGCTTTCACTGCAGCTTAAATGACTTCTTTCATCACCACTGGTTCTTGATCATACATTATTTCCTAAAAAGCTTCTGTGTCCACTAATTCTTTTTGGTACAGTGACTGTGTGTACATCTTCTTCTGATGCTTCCTGCATCATTTAGGATTTTGCCCATGGCATCCTTCAATACTGCAACTCGAAGCTTGGATTCCCCTTCCCCCTCTCTTTCTGCTTGACAAATGCCAAGTGAGTTCCTCCCTTTTTGTTTTCCACCTCCAACTCTTTGCATATTCCTTCATAATGTGTTGGTTTTGTTTTCTTATGCTGTCCTTTAAAATCTTGTCCTTGGTTTTTTTAACTTCATCTTTTCTTCCCTTTTGTTTTGGCTTCTCAACATTCTAGTTCCATTTTCCTCTGATACCTAGTTTGATCTTTGCTTTCTCCATAAAAAAGCAGAGTGGATGTTGGACTCAAACTATCTCTCTTTGAGATAGCAGCACAACTTCTTGCCAGCTAGGCTACCAGAGCTCTCTTCACATCCACTGTTGTTGCGATTGTTGTTAAGTGCCGTAGAGTCACATTGTTGTTGTTGTTATGTAGAGTCATAGACACATAGAAACCCTATGAATGAAAGACCTGAACACTTGTATAACTTCCATCATTTCTCTAAGTTCATAGAGTATCTGAAGGCAAACTATTTCAGAAGTGGATGCCACTCAGGTTCCACGCCTGTTTTAATTTGGGAGCTGCACCACACACTGTCCACCATGGGGAACCATTATCGCATTTGACACAATTAGCCAAAAGAGCTTTATTCCTCACAACAATCCTATGAACAACAGATCTAACCCCAATCCCGTATGATTTACAGCCTCTGAAAACTCACTCAAAGGTCAGTTATGAGTCAGTTCCAAATCAAAGGCAATTGGAGAGAGTTGTGTTGAATTATATTCTCAAAAAATGAAAATACACATCTGTACAAAAACTTGAATATGGACATTCCTGTTGAGTCAACTAAAACTCACAGTGACTGTTTGAACATATGAAACCTTGCCCTATCCTGCACCGTCTCTGACATCCTCATGAAGTCATCATTAGTCATGTGTCACAGAAAGCAAACACTTGTGTACAGATGTTTATAATTACAGTAATGGTAAAAAAGTAGAAACGATACAAATGTCTACCAACTGCTGAATGTATAAAGAAAAGGTAGTATATTCATATAATGGACTACTGTTCCTTATTTAAAAAAGAGTCATCCATGCAAGAACATGTATGAGTCTTGAGAACATGAACTAAAAACAGTCACAAAAGAATATATTATGCGGGAGGCTGCGGCTGTGCTCTCGGGCACCGCTGAGCACCTGCCGCGGTCACACCTCCAAGGTTGGTGCCCAGGGAAGCGGCCAGGTCTCGGCCGAGATGATAGAACACCTGGAACGCCTGGCGCTCGTGGACTTTGGCAGCCGCGAAGCCGTGGCTCGGCTAGAGAAAGCCATCGCCTTTGCTGACCGGCTCCGAGGCGTGGACACTGACAGGGTGGAGCCCATGGAGTCAGTGTTGGAGGACAGATGCTTATTCCTCAGGTCTGATGACGTAGTAGAAGGCAACTGTACTCAAGAAATACTACAAAACTCCCATCAGGTTTTGGAAGAGTATTCTGTGGCCCCTCCAGGTAATATATCTCTAGCAAAGCTGGAAGAGCCTTCTCAAGTGGCTGAGTAGCGATTCCAAGGATGTGAATACCTAGCAACAAGTATCACACTTCTTCAGTCAGCTGACAAAAATGGATGCATTATGTTTTTTAATAACTGACTCTGAAGGCAACACTAGCTTAGATATGGTCAAAGGGAAGGAATTCCTGTTGGTTATGAAGTAAAAAGCCTCATGTGCTTTGGAGGAGACAAAAGACCATGCTCCCTTACAGACCTGTTCGGCTGGACCTTTTTTTTACTGCCCCTGCAAAACAGCTGTTATCTGAAACATCCTTTTTCTGATTATGTAACTGGTAAAATGGAGCATTTGATCACTGGAAAAAAAATATATTATGCAATTCCATTTATGTAAAATGTACAGAATATACAAGTATAAAGAAAGTGATCAGAGGTCACCAAGGGCTGAAATGAATGAGCCACACTTCATGGGATGTTGTACATGGTCTAAATATGATTATGTAGTAGTTAAAGAATTCTGTGACTATTCTACACTCCAAGGAATTATACACTTTAAATGGGTGAATTGTATTTGGATTATCTATCAATAAAGCTGTACCTCCCCCAAAAAAGAGTTAAATAAAAGATAAATTAAAATTCTTAGAGTCTATTATGCAATTAAAAAGCACTGGGAGGGGGGTGGGATTGTATAACAATAAAAGAATATTTTTCTTTTTTCAAAGAGAAAAGCGAACTGGGAGGAGTGGTGGGCAGAGAGGAAAATGTGCAACAATGTATGAATGGGGGGGGAATAAATATAAAAAAAACAAAGAGCAGGTAAGCATGGAATAAGGTATGTCATACTTGATAAAAATTTGTTACAAAATCTCAGGTAAATTAGTTCATAATTCAACTACTTTAAAAGATTTATATTTAATGAAATTAACCTTTATACTTTTACAAATCTAGTATCTTAGTTTCTCAATGTAGTAGTTTCATCTTTGATAAAAAGCTACACACAATCTACAACCAGAAGATAAAATAGATAAATGGGACATTCTAATAATCAAATCCCTATGCACATCCAAAAATTTCTCCAACAGGGTAAAAAGGGAAGCCACAGACTAAGAAAAAGTATTTGGTAATGACATGGCAAATAAGGGACTTATATCTAGAATTTATAAAATACTTGAGCGCCATAATAAGATAAAGGTAAATAATCCAATAGAAAAATGGGCACAGGATATGAACAGACACTTCTCCAAAGACATTCAGATGGCCAACAAGCCACGAAGAAATGTTCAAAATCCCTACTCTAAAAGAGATGCAAATCTAAACAACTATGAGATACCATCGCACTCCAGTAAGAATAGCAACATTTAACAGAACAGCAAGCAATAAATGCTGGAGAGATTGTGGAAAAACCGGCACCCTTATTCACTGTTGGTGGAAATGTAATATGGTGCAACCACTGTGGAAGGCAGTGTGGTGCTTTCTCAATAAGTTGCAAATAGAGAAACCACTGTGGAAGGCAGTGTGGCACTTTCTCAATAAGTTGCAAATAGAGATACTATTTAACCCAGCAATTCCACTACTGGGAATATACCCCAAAGAGATCATAACTGTCACCCAAGCAGATATATGCACACCCATGATTATGGTGGCTTTGTTCACAATAGCAGAGTTGGCAACAACCTAAATGACCGTCAACAAACGAATGGATAGAGAAGCTGTGGTATATTCACACAATGGAATACTATGCTGCATTGAAAAACAAGGAACTCATGCAATATTATTCAAAATGGGTGACCCTGGAGGACGTTATGCTGAGTGAAATATCTCAGTCACAAAAGGACAAATACTGCATAGTGCCACTGTTGTAAAACAGGACTGACATCGGGGTTGGGGGGAGATTGAGAAAGATGGGATAAATAATATATACTGCATTGAAACAGATGAGGGAGAAAACTGTTTAAAAGGAATATGTGATTAGGTATTATTGTCATGACAAGAGTCCAGAGTGAAGGCTGCGTACTGGAGAGGGATTGTAGAACAATGAAAGAATTTTACTTTTCAAAGAGAAGAGTGTACTGTGGGGGGAGGGTTGGGAAGGGAGAAAAGTGCAACAATGAATGAATGGAAATTCAAAGTCTCTGTAAATTTTCCATTAAAATTAATAACACTAATAAAATTTTTTTAAAAGCAAAAAACACACACACACACAAACAAACCTGAGCAATCAATTCCTTTTCACTAAAAAAAAAACCCAAAACAAAACAATGAACTATACAAAATATTAGCTTATGAAAGGTGGTTGATATTTCTAGCTGTAAATTTAGAATATATATTTAATCTGATATCACTAATCTACACAGCAGTTACAAGGTAAGCAACCCTGGTGGTGCAATGGTAAAATACTCAGCTACAAAGTAAAAAAACTAAGCCCAAAATACCAGCCCCTTTTAGTCAAGTTCAATTTATAGATGACTCTCCACTGTGTGTAGAGAAGGAGACTGCTCATCTGCCATCCATGAAACAGCAGGTGAATGAGAACACCAACTTTTTGGTTAGCAGTGCAACACATTACCTTCCACACCACCAGTTCTCCTTAACCCAAAATACCAGCCCCTTTTAGTCAAGTTCAATTTATAGATGACTCTCCACTGTGTGTAGAGAAGGAGACTGCTCATCTGCTGACCTTCCAAACTTGATTTCCCTTTCCAAGGAATAGCCTCTCCCAGCAATAGGCTCAAAGTAGTTGAGACAAAACTTCACCATTATTACCTCCAAGGAGCATTCTGGTTGCACTTTTCCCAAGGTATATCTGTCTGTTCTCCAGGGGATATTCAGTAAAGTTTAAAGTCTGGGAAATCCTATGAGGCAGGCAAACTGTCATGCTAGGTCCCTACAGATCCATTTACCAGATGCCACACAATAGTCAAAAGTTTCATTTATCTCTTACACAATTGTCCATAGGATTATGTAGGCCAATATTAAATCCTGCCAATCCCAAGAGATGGGTAAACAGAAAGGAATGAAAATGTCTTCAAGCTCAATGTCTTTTGAACATTATGAAAAAACCTTAAGTATAATTCTTTTGAAACACTAGTGATCAGAAAATAGTTTAGACTAATATATTCTTTTGGAATTTTCACATCCAATTTTATTTAAAGTATTAAGTCTACATATTAGGAAATTGAATAAGGTATTGTTTCAACAGAAAAAAATGCCCATTTAATGTTCATTTTAGAGAGCAATAAGTCTAATAAATATTGGGACCTGAACTATTTGGACAAATGAAAGAGTACAATAGACTGTACATCAGGAAGGAGTTAACTGCTTTGTAAAAGGTTCTTAATACAGAACTGATAACATATGCCATTTAAATATTTGTGAATTTAAAATACCTTTACCATACATTGATTTATATACAACTTTTAACCACAAAAGGCATTAAAATGTTTTAACAGTTAATACTCTTAAAGGGCAAAAAACAATCTTTCAAAAGTAAATAACAATTTAAAAATATTCTATTTCATTTTGAAAATTCACTCAAATTTTTAAAGTATTATACTCTGTAGGTTAATACTTTCAAAATTCAACAAATATTAAGTGCCTACTTAAGGCACTGTTTAAGATGGCAATTCATCGTCCCGTGTAAAAATTAATAGCCTTATGATTTTTAAAAGGCATAATTTCCAGCTTCAATTTGTAATACATATTTACTTTCATTTCTCCTTTTCCTCTAATCAGTTTGGACAGGACAGAACAGAGTGTTAGGTTGAGGTTATAGGTGATTTGTCCTGGAAAAAGATACCATCTACATGAATAGGAAATATAAGAAAAAGAAAGTAACAAAAGAAACTAAAAGCACTGATACAGATGTCAAAATTGAACAAAATATAAACTCACAAAGAATCAACATCAAACTCCTTATAAGGTAAGTTTTATTTGTTGAATTAGTTGTTCTGGCATTTAGGAAATGAAAATCATTTAGTAGGCTAGAAGTGCCACCTATATTCTTAACAAAGATTTGTTTATTACTGAATTAAAGTTAATTAAAAAAAGCTTAGTAAAATTCTTTATGCTTAATGGGGAGGACATTTTCATATTGTAAAAGAAGAAATAAAAAGAATAATATCTTTGAAAAAGAGGAAGTAAACTTAAAAATAAAGAATTTAAGGCACTTACTTCAATGGGTTTGCAACACCAAGAGCAAAGTATGTTTTATGTTTTTTTGAGAAATTCTTTCCACTCAAAACAATAAACTTTGCTTCTTTTATACTCGAGCTGTAATGTCAAACCTAACCATTATAATTTACCCAAGTAGAATTAACTTGGAAAATTCTTAATTAATTGTTACTCTACAAGTAAGAAATTAATTAAAAGTTCCACAGTTAAAATTTTCTAGTGTTATTAACTATGTTTAAAAATAGAAACAAATATATGTATTTTAATATCTGATATAATTTCTATTAAAAACTTCACATTCTCCTTTTTTTCAAATAATGCTAAAGAAAAACTATGTAAAAACTTGAAATAAAATTTTCTCTAAGAAGTAAGTTGACAGAAGAAAAAGCACCTTGATATATAAAAGCTAAATAAGACATTCAAACCTAATTTAGCAAATGTAATAACATAAAGCAATAAAAAAAAATCAATTAAGTCTTTCACATTACATTGAAAACAGTTTGTGTTTCCCTTACAAAATATGCAAGCTTTTAAATGACATTGTTTTACACATTATAAGCACAGGTGCTGCGATGTGACTATTCACTGTATACTTAGTTAAGTAACTATGATTACATTGTCATAATGTCTGAAGCTAAATATGAATGAATCACTACTAAGATAGACAAGAGTCAACCTGAAGGACACACAGTCTGCAACTATCTCTATATAGTTAAAAAAACTGTAAAAAAGCATGAAATAAGAACCAATGAAACTAATGTAGTAGATATCACATTGCCATAAACAATTCTTAAGCTCCAAAAGAATAAAGTGTTTAGTCTAAGAATGCATGTGCTTTTGTATTTTTAAATATATTTATATACATATCTGTATCTAACTATATATATAGGAAAATTAAGACAATGGAAGCATATTCCCTATCAAATTAGGAGTAATAGTACTAAAAATGCAATTTTTGTTCCACTAAAAAATGAAAATTTTCAAAACCTGTTACTTAAACAGGTAACATAAAACTAAAACATTTATACCCATCTTATTAAAATGGTATATCTACAGAGTATTTATCTTGAATCTCTTTATAATGCCAAATTAATTATTTTAGACATTTTACATAAGTGATTAAAAATATGGTAATACTTAAAGAATATAGTAATCAGACTACGAATATGTGAATTTTATTATAATTGCCATTTTCTCCTTAATGTTGAAGAATGCATTAACTTTCTAAGTAACAGTCCTTGTGTTTTAGAGTAAAATATCTATAGAGAGAGATACGATTAACAGAGTCTGCACGTATCTCCAGGTACAGTTGCTCATTTCAATATATTTATTCTTTTGATAAATATCTAGTTTTATAAAGGGTATATGCTCCGTTATCTATATTTTTAAAAAACCCAAATAACATTCTTAAAAATTACTATTTTTAAAGATACAGAAATAAAAAGAGTTACAGTTTTGTCATAATTAAATTAGTTCTAAATTTATGGGCATAACTGAAAAAGCAAACAAACCACTTAATATAGTTAAAAATAATAAAATACAGTTATCATGCATTTTGTATTATAAGAAAGTGCACACTAATACAAGCCGATGATGATGTGAAAAGAAGCATGGAATATTGAGAGTTCTGAATACGGTATACATCTTTATACACATACACATATCCTTAAAAATCATTTTCATTTATATAATTTTCACTTAAATGCTACATATTTTAAGATAACATTTAAATTCATTTTTATGGTAATATTTCAGTTCTATTAGAAACCACAAACAACTTTAAAAACTTGCTTGAAGGGAAGAATAGTTACTTCTATCATTTAAAGCATTTGTTAAGTGTTTTGCTTGCGATCCATACTCCAACTTTAAACAGTTTCCAATTTCAAGATCAATGTTATGATATAATGAAGGTATGTGGTGAAAATCTTACATATTAGAAAGTTAAAACTTTTAAAGAGCGTATTATTAGTAAAGAAGACAACTGACTGGGCTATTGCCAGGTGTAGATTTGACACTGTGCCAAAAAAGAGTACTACTTCATCTTCTATTTCCCACAGAACTCTGGATCTGGTCAACAGCAAGATGGGAAAAGCAGCAGCAATGTTTCAAATGGCTAGACTCTGATCTGCAAAAGATACTGTGTAGGTAGAAGAAAAATCACATTTTACTTCATATAGTGTAAGTCCCTGAAATAAAGGTTCTGCTATTTTTTAAGACTGGAAGGATATCACAGTGTTGATTTTATATACAAAGTAGGATCTGTTCCAGTATACTCTAGTGAAATAATTCACGTATGGAGAATAGTTAATTTTGACCTCATGGCAAAATCGTCCATATTTTGAGTACGTCAGCTTGTCACCTTCTTCACAAATCACCTATCAAAAAGATATGAAACATAATAGTAAAATACTTGTGAGCGGTATAGGAGAAATGCAATCAATGTTATTTTTATTATTAATATTTCTATGAAAAAGTGCATCATTGCTAAAAGTGAACCACAAAGTATCTCATATGGTATAATAAATAGAAGCTTCATAATTATCATTATGTCTATTTAATTCTTGAGCTTCCCATTAAAAGTAAAAAATTATGGTAGAGTATATTTTCACTTTTTTAAAGACTTAATTCTAAAATTTAGAAAGAAATGTCTCCAAAATCTATTATCATTGCTCTGGTGACCCTTGTGATGAAGTTTATCAAGGCTGAGAAATGGACATATTGTATTCCCAATATATTCAAACTCTTCTTCGTGTGTAGAACTGACTTATAATTATCTAGTAAATAAGTAAGATGTGAACTGACTTATAATTATCTATTACTTATAAATAAGTAAGTTGATGTGACTTAACCAATACAAAGCTTTACATTCTCACCTAACAATGTTAAGATAGCTAAGATAATGTAAAGAACTTTTTTACAGTAAAATGCAGAATATTTAAGAGTGAAATGTGAATTATTCTATATCCATATCTGGCACTACATGACAGAAGTAACCCCATCTTCAAAAGGGAGCAGAACATGGACTGCAAGGCTTAAAACAATGTGACTATGTCAGGACTACCAAAAGTGATCTACAGGCATAATTCAATTCCAATTCAGATCCTGTTACCATTCTTCAAAGAAATGGAAAAAGTAATCACCAACTTTATATGCTAAGAATAGACATCACTGGATAAGCAACATGCTACTGAAAAAGAAAAACAAAGTAGGAGATCTGACACTTTCTGATCTCAAAATAAACTCCACTATCACAGTAATCAAAACAGCACTGGCAAACTGCAAATGCAAAGAAAAATGGAATAGAATTCAGAACTTAGAGATTAAAGGAATTGAATTCAGAACTTAGAAGTAATAGTCACCTATCAACAGGTGAGTTTTGACAAACAGAAATCCCTATGTACGTCAAAAGAATAAAAAGAACCTACAGACTAGGGAAAAAAACCTGCCAAGAGACTCATATCTAAAATGTATAGAAAACGCCAACAATTCACCAAGAAAAATACAACTCAATTACAAAATGAGCAGAGGACATAACGAGACACTTCAACAGAAGAGTCTGAGGGCCAACAAACACATAAAGAAAAACTCAAGATCATTAGCTACTCAAAACTCAACTCACTGCCATCAAGTTGGAAGCGACTAAGCTGATCTGCAGGCAGGGTTTTAGAAACCGTAAATCTCACTGGAGAAGACTTGTCATTTTTTCCCTGAGGAGCTCTAGGTGAATTCAAACTGCCAGAGAGGTGCCACCTTTGGGTTAGGAGCACAACTCCCTATGGACTAGGCTATCAATCAGAGTTCCCTCAAAAACTGTATAAGGTCACTATTATAAAAAGCTTAAGAAAGATTTACACTCACATAGAACCATTCTTGGATGGGTACCAGAATGAGAAAGAAGGGAGAGAGAGGAGAAAAAAAAAATTAGTAAATAGATAATAAATACATATCAAGATGAATGAAAGCAAAGGTACAAAAAGGAGATGATCAGTACATTATTGCTAAAGGAAAAGAAGACGCTGAGAGATATACAAGGCTTACTAGAAATCAGAATTAAAGGCAGGAAGTGAGTAAAGTGTGATTATATAGAGGGATTTGTAAATAATATTATAAAACAAATTATGTATGAAACATTGAATAAAAAATTTCTTTATAAACTTTCACTCAAAAATATATATATTATATATACACACATATACATACATATATATATACATACATAAAGGAGCAGAAAGTGAAGGCAAACTTGAGCCAGAACAGAAAAAATCCAGATACTGGTCAATATAACAGTACTTGTTGCATATTCATTGTTTAATAAAATTTCCTTAGTTAGTTGACAAATCAAAGAACACAGAAAATATCAATGAAGGAAATTAAAAAATACATGAAGCATAAAACAGAGTAAGTTTATATTACAAAATTGAAAACATCATGGAGAAAGAAAGTTGGAAACCACTAAAATGAATTTCTTACCTCCAAACTGAGGTTATAAAGAACTGTGATAATTAGGAAAGTCTTGGCTGCAACCTGACTGGACTTTGCAGTTCAACTGAGAATGACCTACATTTTCCCTATGGTTTCCCACTTCCAACTGTGCTGGGAGTCCAGGCATGCTACTCTAAGAAGCACTAATTTTCAGATACACAAACTCTCTGTCAGCCTTCTCACTTGCCAGATACACAATACTTATACTATAGGCTGAAAAGTAAGAAATCTTGGTATAATAGCTAAAATAAATATAGAAATTAAGATCCAGCTAAATCCTAACAACTAAAGCAGCTTTAAGGGTCATTTGGGGGGAAAAAGTTGCTCTGAAAATATTAATTTGGGGGAATAATATGGACTATATGTACAGGAACTGTGTAAATATACCAATAAATTTTACTAAATATAGTATAATCTCTCAATTTAAGAACACAGCAAAATTCTATTTTCTAGATTATTCTGATTAATAAAAATAAAATTAGCATTTAATTCAAACTATGCCATCTTTTATTTCTAAAAATGGAAATTATTTTTCCCTTGAAAATGCTCGATTTTACATACATTAAGAAATCCCTAAATTAGAATTGCTTAAAAGTAATATGTGATTAAGTATTATTTGTATGACAACAGTCCAGAATAAGAGCTGCATAGTGAAGTGGAACAGGGGGCAGAGGGGGAATTGTAAAACAATGAAAAGCAAACTGGGGGGGACAGGGAGGAAAACAACAAATGAATGAAAATCCCAAGTTCGCTATAAACTTTCATTAAAATCTCAATAAAATAAAAAAGATAACCCTAAAACATATTTAACAAACTTCCCTCATGATTTTCTAATTTTAATTTGCATTCTTAAATTCCGAAAATAGTCTTATCATTAAAAGTTTAAATGTTCCTTTTTCTCGAAACAAAACAGCTTTACCTTTCCAAATGATTACTTACATGCCCATTTGCGATGTCTAGTAAGTCTTTAACTCTACATCCTCGCGTGGTTCCCACCTCATTGCAGATAGCATCCTCTACAATTAGATAATTAGCTTTGTAGGATGTCAGTATTTTGTAGATATCTTCAGCAGATCGTTTTGAATAGATTTGATAGATCTGAAAGGATATAATACCAAAAAGAGCAAATTTAAGAGACGGAAATACTATTAATCAAGCTATACAGGCATTGAACATCTGTTTGGATTAATACACATTATTTTTGGTACTAGGTGCCAACTGTGGAAAATACTCATTCACTAAAATTTCAATCCTACCTTGAGGATATGTATACATATGTCTTTTAGTGTTGTCCAGATGAAAAATAATTAGCAAACCTAATGTGATCTGGTCCATAGGGAATGGTGCTTATGACCCCAAAGTCAAGCAACTACAAGGGAGAAGGATGGACAATCTCTTCCTGTGAAATTTACAGTCTCGAAAAATCCACTGGAGGGTCACCTATGAGCTGGTTCTGACTAGATGCCAATCAGTAGTAATGTGGTAATTAATGAAATTATAAGATACACAGCAATCTTAACATGCATTCTTCATTGATGATGTACTTTTTTTTAAGGTTTAAACAGGCTTTATTGTTACACGTTGGGGCCCCCACGCAGGGCCTTCTATTTGTGGTTCCGGGATGTCACCATGGAGACATCAAGAGGTCATGATTGCAGGAGAGGTAATGGAAGGACTTGATTCGGGGCTGTCCAGACAGGAATGCAGGAACATGATTAGATGGTCCAGGGGTGCTCAGGACACAGAGCAGGAGAGGACGGTCCCCTTCATTCCCGCTTCTTGTAGCTCTCCAGGTGTGACAGGACCCAGGCCGGCAGCACAAGGAAACAGATAAAGCAGGCCGTGAGCCCAATGATGGAGTCCATGACCCCGACCTTCTCCCACGTCGGCTTCGAGTGGACATGGGCTTGCGGCACCAGGACCCGCCGGGCCGGCCCAGCAGGCCCCTTAGCAGCAGCAGACTCGGCAGACATAACGGCCCAGTGTGGACTACAGACTCAGCTGCAGGCCAAGGTCAGGAAGTCAAAATGGCTGCCCATTGATGATATTCTTGATATCCTCCCACAGTTCATTTGATCTTCACTCATTGGGGTACAAGGTCTAAAACCTGTTCCTGAGATAGTTTTAAAATTTGAGTGGGATAGAAAATTTTGGTTCCTGTATACTTAATTTTCTTCAATTTCAGCTTGAACTTGCATATATGAGTGGTTGGTGATCTGTTCCACAGTCAGCACCTGGCCTATTTTTCACAGTTGATATTGAGCTTTTCCAGTGATTCTTCCCACAAATGTAGTTGATCTGATTCCTATGCATACCACCAGCTGGAATCCACGTGTACAGTCTGCATTTATGTTTCTCATTATAAGTATTTGTAATGAACAAGTCATTGATTGTACAGAATCCAATCATTCTGTCTCCAGCACCATTTCTGTCACCACGTTCATGTTTTCCAGTTACCAATCCTTCTTCCGTTTCCAACTTTTACATTCCGTTCACCCACTATTATTAATGCATCTTGATTGTATGTTCAGTTGACTTCTAACTGCAAAAGTTGGTCGAAGTCTTCTATTTCCTCCTCTTTTGCTCTAACTATTGGTGCATATATTTCAATGATAGTGGTATTCACTGGACTTTCTTGTATGCATAAGGGAGGCTAGGCTCTATGAGGAAGAAGGTGGGATCAGGATTGGAGAAGACTCAATCAATAACCTACATTATGCAGATGACACAAACTTGCTTGCTGAAACTGAGGAGGACCTGAAGCACTTGCTGCAGAGGGGGTTAAGGATGTAGCCTTCAATACGGATTAAAGTTCAACATCAAGAAAACAAAGATTCTCACCCCTGGGCCAGTTGTCAGCATCATGATAATGGTGAAGAGAATGAGATTGTTAACAGCTTTAGTTTGCTTGGCTCCACAATCAACGCTCTTAGTATTAGCAGTCAGGAAATCAAAAGACTAATTGTAGTGGGAAAGTGTGCTGTCAGGGACATCTCCAGAGTACTGAAGAGCAGCAATGTCAGTCTGGAGACTAAGGTGCACCTGATCCAGGCCATAGTCTTTGCAGTTACTTGCTATGTTCAGAAAGCTGGACAATGACTAGGGATGATAAAAGGATTGATGCCTTTGAGCTGTGGTGCTGGAGAAGAGTATTGAATAAACCATGGACTGCTAAGAGGACAGTTTGTCCTTGAGAGGGTGAAACCAGGCTGCTCCTTGTAGGCAAGGATTCTGAGGGTCTATATAACATACTTTGGGAATGTTGCAAGGAGGAACCTGTCCTTGGAGAGGGACGTCATGCTTGGGTGGGTGGAGAAACAGCACAGGAGGGGATGACCCTTGAGATGGACTGACTCAGTGACTGGGGTAATGGGAGTAGGTGTGTCAGAGAGGGTTGGCTCAGGTTAAAGTAGGGTTCAGAGATGTTGTACAGAGGGTTGCTATGAGTCACAAGCGACTTGAAAGCACACAACAACTTTTAACAGGTATAAATATGCAGTGAATATAGACATAGAGTAGAAAAGAACATTTTTCTTGTCAGCTGTCAAGGGTCTGACTCCAAGAGACACACTGGGACAGAGTAGAAATGCCCATTAGGGTTTACTAGCCTATTTAAAGATGAAGATCAGTTTTGTTAAGAAATTAGTCTTGGCCCCAATCACTGAGCCGCTGCCGAGGACTCAGCTGCCTTCCCCTTAAGCCCCCTCGCTTCCCGACCCTCCGTCTCCCTGGCCCCCTTCTCCCACCACCGCCTTTTGCAGGCCGTTTCCACCAAGGAAAAGGAATCATATTGCATGTCCACTATCCAGAACCTCCCACTCTTTCAACCTCTTTGCTGAGGCAAGTAAGGGTGATGACCTGCTTCCTGTTGGGACTAAGGATTATATCCATATCAGAGAAAAGGCAGGAAGACCCTCACAACTGTCCAGAAGATTGCGGATGATTACGATAAAATGAAACTAGTAAAGGCATTTAAGAAGTTTCCCTGCAATGGTACTGTAATTGAGCATCCAGAATATGGAGAAGTCATTCAGCTACAGGGTGACCAGCGCAAGAACATATACCAGTTCCTTGTAGAGATTGGACTGGCTAAGGATCACCAGCTGAAGGTTCAAGAGTTTTAAGTGTTTGTGACTCACTGAAGCTTAAGTGAGGATTTCCTTGCAATGAGTAGAAAAATTCCCTTCTGTCCCTTGTTACAAGTTTAAAATTTCACAGCTTTTATAATCTAACTATTTGGGGTCCACTTTTAACTTGGACTAATGTAACTCTTTCATGCAATAAACTGAAAAGAGCCAAAAAAGAAAAAGAGAAGAAGACCCTGGATTTGACCCTAGAGTAACATGGTTTGAACTGTAACATGGTTTGAACTGTCTGGGTCCACTTCCACTCAGATTCTGTTTCTAAGATGCCGTGTGACTCTCATCTTCTCAGCATGAGCACCTCGTCACTCTAGTCAATTACACAGTGCAGTCAACACTGAACTCTTATAGCCATCCTGCATTTTTAATCATATCTAGTTCAATACTGTAAACTTTTAATAAGACCGTAAGGTCTCTATAAAGTGCCACTCGTGATGCTGAAGTGCTCCCAAGAATAGGAGAAACAAGAATACAGTTTTAACTGCTTGATATGTGATGTAGATTGAGAGCTGCAGCTATGGTGTCAAGATAAATGAATCCAGATTAAAGATCATAGTAAACAAGAAAAGAAAAATCTGTAAAGCCATGCCTGCAGGTGAGAAACTCTTGCACTTTTTGCAAAATACATTTTTAACTTGTACTGAAAATGTAGCTTTTATGTAGGTGCAGAAAATAATACTAACAAATATATGCTAATCAACTGCATATGATATCTAACCATAAGGTCAACAAGCTATTAGTAGTTAAGTGTCTGGAGTTAGTAACTTATTACAAATACATAGGTGTGTACACACACACACACACACACACACACACGTGTGTTGTCAGATGCTGTTGAATCTGCTCCCACTCACAGTGATGCTATGTTGTTGTTATTGTTGTTATGTGCCACTGAGTCACCTGCGATGCACGGTGATCGTATGTATAGCAGTTCTGAACCCGGACCTGTTCTGAGCCAGTCTTACTAATTCTGACACACCAACCCCCATTGCCCCCGTTACTGTATCAGTCCATTGCATCCCCTCCTGCGCTGTCCCTTCCAAGCATGATGTCCTACTCCAAGGACCAGTATCTCTCTCTCCTGGCCACATTCCCCAAGTATGGGAAATGGTGCTTGAGCAGAATAAAGTCTTGCTTGATGCTATGCCATCACCACTGCCTCTACCGTGCTGAACACTGCTGCAGTCACTGTGTCAACCCTTCTCGTCAAGGGTTTTCCTATCTTATCTATTTCTGTCATAACAGAGATACCACAAGTGTATGGCTTTAGCAAATAGAAATTTATTCTCTTGCCGTTTAGAAGATTAGCAGTCCAAGGTCAGGATATAAACCAAGGGGAAGGCCTTCTCTCTGTCAGTTGGAAAGCACTTGTTTCCTTCAAAATCTATAGCCCAGCATTTCTCAAAGACCTCTGGTGCATTCTGGCCTTCATCATATCAAAGTTCCTGTGTAGAGGCCCAGATCCAAAATGGCGTACTTCACTCCTGGAAATTATTTCTTGACTGTACTAAGGGTTTTCCCTTTGTCTCACTTCCCTCTCCTTTTCAATATAGTTAGATATACAATCATATCCTAGTAAAGGAGCTCCTTTAATATCAGATTAAGGCTATGATGGGATTAGGGAGTGTTAATCTTCCTTTAACTGTTTAGGGAGCTCTGGTGACCTAGAGGGGAAGGACTTGTGCTGCCAACCACACACAATGGTACCAGCTGCCCTACAGGAATTGAATGTGCAATCTTCTGTTCCATTTACAGCCTTTAAAAACCCACTGGAGGGTCAGCTATGAATCAGTTATGACATGATAACACATGTTGTTGTTGTTGTTGTTAAGGGCAGGCGACTCATAGCGACCCTATGAAGGAGAGTCCTCGATGCTTGGGTGCCTTCAGATCACAGGCAATCCTTCTGCAACTTCCACATTATTGTATGTATATGTATACTGGAGGGACACGATTCAACCCATGATTCTCTGCACTGATCCAATCGTGGGAGTTGTGTCAGTCTCTATTGGATTAGTAAGTGGCCTAGTAGTAAGGAGCTGCAATGCCAACCCAGAAGCAGGCAGAATTCTATAAAATTTAAAATATTTAGAACTCTTGGTTTGCCATTAGTTTCAATATGAAATTGCCATTTAAATTGATAACAAGTACTTAAAATAGCTTATTCCCTGAACAAAAATTAGATGCCTCTCAACAATAAACTAAAATAAATCATAAATACACATATATATTAGGAATATATACCCACTGCTGGTGGAAATATAAAATGGCACAACTAATGCTGGAAATGTTTGGTAGTTCCTTAAAGGCTGAACATAAAATTACTATAAACCCTGTAATCCCACTCCTTTGTGTAGATCCAGAAAAAGAAGTGATGGCAGCAAAGGAAATAGATATCTGCACACCAGTGTTTATTGCAGCGCTTTTCATAATAGCCAGAACATGGGAAACAACCAAAATGTTTAGTAATTGATGAATGGACAAACAAAATGTGGAACACACAAGGAGAGATTACTTATCCATCCATAAAGAGTAATAAAGTCTTGATGCATACCATAAATGGATGGATTCTGAAAATATCATGCTGAGTGAAATAATAAAATATATCAAAATAAAAAATTATTAGTGGTTATCAGGGAGAGGAAGGAGGGGGAAAGAGGACAGAGGGACACTGAGTTTATGTTAATGGTGGCAGAATAAACATGAAAAAGAATAATGAGAAGAGTTGTGCAACTTAAAGAACATAATGTTATCGAACTGCACATCTAGAGATTCTTGCACTGGCGTATGTTTTGTCACACATATTGTCACCATTTTTAAAAATAATTAATTTAAAGATTATTTTAAAAACAAAGATTGTTCTTGTTATGTGACATCAAATTAAATGTCATTCTAATGTTACAGCTGGTGGGTTATTAGTAACAACATATGTCCAAAAATAAATCAACATTTTGTAAGCAGTAACAGAATTTTCATTTGAAAGGGCAGAGTATCAAGACATTATTTGACAATCTTCCTTCAGTAATTTGAATAAGAGCAATAATATTTTCAAGAGAGCATTTCTTTTTGCAAAATATTACACGTCACTTCTCTTGTTATTTTTTCTAAAATTTAATGTTGTTCTTTTTCCTTAGAAACTAGCTACACTATTCATAAAATAAAGAACTTAATGTTTTCAATTGGCTCTCTTATTTATTAAATATGTTATAATATTTGGTAAAAATGAAAGTTAAAGAAATCTTATATTGTAAGATGGCTTTTTTCTACTTTTTTCTGCAATACACTAAAAACATATGCATCATTATTGAAGCATGATAAACAAAAATGTTATGAAAAAAACACATATGTACAATTTGAAATGTCTTACATTTTCATTCCTTTTGAGAAGATCATCATCATTGTAAAGAGGCAAACTTGTCACCATCCCTCCAGTGCATAATTTAATCACACCCATTAACTGTGGACTCCCTGCAAACACAGCTGCCACAGGAGCTTGCCTTCTGCAAAGAAACATAAAGATTACACACTGAAAAGCACACTATTTAGATCAACTCTGCTCTAACTTCATTTACTGTACATTGCACACATAAGTTTCAATATCATTTGCATTTAATGTATGGATTCACTCTAACAACGGAGTAACTGTGTGCAAGGATAGAGATATAGAAATTAAGAAAGACAAAAAGCAAGACCCCTGTTTTCAAGAGGCAGTATGGAAGGCAATAAAGAATAGTTCTATATCAGGTGTGACTGTCACTATTAAAAAATAATGCAAGGTAAGAGGATGGTGTTTGACAGAAAAATACTATTTTAGACAGAAAAATACTATTTTAGATAGATTGGCTAGGTAAATGCTAATACCTTAAATTCTCACATTCTTCTTTTACAAGTTATTAATGCAACAGCCCAATTGCTTCCAACTCCAGCTATGCTCTGAGTCTTCTCTATTCTCATCCTTGTCTTTTTACACAGGTAACATGCATAAGACTTTTTCCACTCTAAATTATGATGTCTCAATCACAACTCCCTACCTCCACAGGCTCAAGGTCACATCTTCTGTGGCCACTAAATCTATTGGTTATTAAGATTAACAAGCCATCCATCCCTCAACCACCTTCAAGTTAAGAGGAAAGGAAGTATAATTGGATAGTCAATATTTTCTAGGAGTTTAAAAGAAGATGGGTCTTCAGATTATCTAGTCTGCCATACTGTCAAAAGTAGAAGTCTAAAATCGCGAACTTATTAATGCTACTTTTTTTTTCAATGCTACATTTTTTACTATAGTGATTTTCAAGACTAATTTTCTAACTTGAAAATTAAAATTTCAGAGTTCTATTAGAAAAAATTTGGCAAAGCATTAATCATTATTTTCTCTTAATCTACTGGATACTTAATAATGACTCAATAAAAGCTTAGCAAATACTTGTAGGCAGTTCAATTCTTACTTTATCCAGGTCATAAGTTCCACTGTATCGGGGTCATAGAATTCCTGTAGTTCTGATAACTCTGTCATTAATCTTGGAAAAAACTAAAATCCAAAACAAAATTCCCAAAAGATATGTATAAGTATAAAGCTGAAAACTGTCCACAGTATTATAAAACATTGTTAATGAATTAACTTAAGGCATACATTGTTCTCATGAAAATAAAATACCATGAATTTTATTACTTTCTTCCAGTGGCTTCCTCATTTTTCTCAATCCAAATAGTCATATATAGTCAATTAATTAGCTAGAATCAATATTTATCACCAGACAACTAATCAATATTTTATTTCATATACATACATACCAATTAAGGAAATAAGTAAGGTCAAAGGATTTGCAAATTTATTGGCAATTACTTTCATATTACAATAAGTAAAAAACTTCTAGATTTCATAGATATTAAAATTTTGGAGATGCCAAAATATTTTTTAATATTAAGACCTATCTATTTAGCAATTTCTATTTCCAGCATCTTTTACCAAACTGAATAACATTAAAAATTACTAAGAATATCATGAATACTAATAATCATAATGATAACAGGAGTTAATAGACTGTATTTTGTTTAACAGTGCCTAAATATCGAGTTCCCACACCCTATATGATTTTCTTACCTCCTTCCATAAGCTAAAACCTATTATTGTAGGCACAGCCATGCTCAGAATAAGGGCCTAAAATATTAAAGCAAAACCAGTTATGGGAAAATATGTCTTACAATGTATTTTTTGAGAAACTACACAATTACTATGATCAATCAGAAGTTAATACAAATCACATTCTTACAAGTATGCTTTGTGCAGTAAAAGAAATTAAAATCATAGAACCCAACTATTGGTAGGATATGGAGAGAGAGCAATGAGCTTCAAATATACTAAGTGAGATATATAAATACTTGCTAATGAATTTAAGGCAGAAAATTAAGAGGTAATACTGAGAGTACTATTTCAAATAAATAAATATTAAACTATTTCTCAGGAATTTAAGAAATTAAAGATTTTATAAAGAATAGTAAACTACTACCTAAAGACAGAATGAATCAATGTAGAAAAAGCAGTTAATATATTATTTCATTATATTATTACGTTAAAAGGGAGCTCTGGTGATTTAATTATAAGGAGTTGTGATGCCAACTCAAAAGCATGTAGTTCAAATCTACCAGCTCTTGTGGTGGAGAAAGATGGATAAACCTCATCTTGTATAATTTATTCCCTCTGAAAATTCGCTGGAGGGTTAGCTCTGGATTAGTTCTAAATCAACAGTACATAATAAGTTAAAAGATTTATAATTTTTTTTCTGGGAATTAGATTGGCACAATACAGCATGACTATTGTTATTTTATTCTATTCCTGCCAAATTATTGTCCTTTCTAGAGTCCCCATGTCCAATGGGGTGATTCAGAGATTCACAATGTCATACAAAGCAAAAACATAGAAGAAAGTCATGACTTATTCCTCTTCTTCATATTTAATCAGATACCAAGTAATAATAATCTTTTCATTTTTTAACTCCAGTATTTCATTGCTGTCAAGTCAGAACTGATGCAATGCTGCTTCTCCATTGGATTTCGAGACTGTAAATAACACAGGAGGAGATCACCTATTTTTCTCCTTCAGAAGGCTGGTGGATTCAACTATACCACAGAGCTCCCCGACTCCAGAACAGTAATAATTCAACTCATTGCCTTCATGTCAGAACCGATTAGTAGCTGACCCTCCAGTGGGTATTCAGAGGCTATAAATCACTCAAGAGGAGACTGTCAATCATTCTTCCAAGGAGCAGCTGGTGGAGTCAGCTTTGAGCTGAGCAACTCCCTACCCACTAGGCCACCAGAGCATAGTAATAATCAAGTGGGATTTGAGGTTAGAAAAACCAAGATGTGAATCGTAGTTTCCATACTTACTTATAGACTTAAAAGGTCTCAGGCAAGTTTTAAACAATTTTAAACCTTAGTTTATGTACAAACTTGAGCTAATAAAACCTACGGGGTCACTATGAGGGAGCTCTGGTGGCCTAGTGGTAAGAAGGAAACAGTAGTTGTTGCTGTTAGGTGTCATCGAATTGAGAATGACTCATAGTGACCCTATGAATAACAGACCTGTACCCTGTCCTGTCTTGTTACCATCCTCACAATTTCTGACACGCTCGAACCCATTGCTACAGTCACTACACATGGTTCAAATTCACCAGATGCTCCACACGAGAAAGATGGGCAATCTCCTCCCATGGGATTCTCTCTGTAAATCCACTGGAGGGTCAGCTACAGTCAGGTGACTTGATGGTACACAACAACAACAACAGGGTCACTGTGAGTTGCAGTTGACTCGACAGCACCAAACAACAATAACAAATAAGGTCTCTGAGAGCATTAAGCTTGACCCTCAACAAACAGCAAGTTTTATTCCTTTCACCCATCATGGCTTATAGCAGGTACTAGCTTCCTTCTCGGCTCCGTTGTCACACTCAGGACTATCCTTCAGAGAAGTGTGAAGGTGATAGAAAACAAAGCCTGACTCTTTCATTCCTCTACATAAAAACCTTCAATGATTTCTACTGTTGTAAAAGGAAGGCCAAGTTCATGCAAAGGCCTCCATGATCTAACCACCACCACTACAGTCTCATTTCTTAACCACCCACCTCAGACTTGATTTGCCAACAAAATTGAGTAAACTATGCCTTTCCTTTGCTTCTGTCTTTAGTTCCTTTGATTACATTTATTCCTCATACAATGAACATCATGCCCTCCCTTCATTTGACTAGTAACTCACCATCTTTCAAAGTTCAGACTTGAAAGTTTTCTCTGAATCTCTAAAAACCCTGAATTAAGTAGCACTCTTTTGTGTTCTTCTTAGAACTTACCATTTGTTTTATGCCTAAGAAACTGTAATCTACTTGATAGGAATTAATATTATCTTTATTTTTATATTCCAAGCACTCTGCAGAAGTCGAGTCCATTCATATGGACAACATCCTAAAGTTGTAAATAAAACTAACAATTATGTAAAAATTTGTTATTGATGGCCTTTCACATTACTGTTCACTTGAATTTTTAAATTTTTTAAAATTTTTACATTTTATTATTCAGTTTGTTACAGTATCACAAGAAATTATTATAAAAAGGATGTTTAAAGGGTCCCTTTCTCAACTTTGAAGTAATATGTTATATAATCATAATATTGTAATTATACTTAAAGTGGTTTTCATTTATTAGCATTCAATTTCATGTAACTAGAAAATAAATTAGTACTTAACTCAAAATAGTAATGACTCACCAACAATATTGGGTGCACAGTTTTTAATCGAAGCCATTTAAAAAGAGTCATCCAAAGTTCAGGAGAACATACACCAAATGCTGCTAACATGCACACATAAGGAGTCCACAGATATTTTGAGCTAGAAAAAATTAGAGGAGTCAGAGATAAGATACCTACGAATATTATTTACTAGATTTCTCTTCTTGAATTCTTTCTCATGAAAAATTAACAAGTAAAAAAAGTTTAAAAAGAAAAATTAATAAGGGAGAAATAAAAAAGCTTAGCTTCTAACTTTCAGTAAGAGTGCTCCTTGGAGGCAAAGATGATAAAGCTTCGTCTCACATACTTTGGGCATGTTGCTAGGAGAGGCTACTCCTTGGAGAGGGACATCATGCTTGGAAAGGTGGAAGGTCAGCGAAAGAGAGGAAGACCCTCAATCAGGTGGACTGACACAGTGACTGCAGCAATGGGCTCGAGTGTGTCAGAGATGGTGAGGCTGGCCCAGGATAGGACAGGGTTCAGATCTGTTGTTCACAGGGTTGCTGTGTGTCATACTCAACTCAACGGCACCTAACAACAACAACAACAGTGAGTAAATTAAAGAATTGTGGATAAATGATAAAATAATGTGACTTAAAAGTTTAAAGAAGAATCTTGGTTTCAAAGTGGCCACCCCACCAGTCAAGAAAACAAGGAATAACAAGAGATTTTTTGCAGAGAAATAAAACCAAGAGAGAAAAGGAGAAGAAAGGTTAGCCAGGGAGTGAAATGAGAATCAAAATATGAAGTCATTTAAAAATATGTGTGGTTTAATACATTTCTTTATCCAACTTATAAAGCATTATAGGAGCCCTCATGATATAGTAGTTAAAGAGTTCAGCTACTAAAGGAAAGATTGTCTTCAAAAAGATATGACAGCTTGTCTCCACAAAGATATAAAACCTTGGAAATCCTATATGCAGTTCAATCTGTCCTATAGGGTAGGTATGTGTTAGAATTTAATTGATGATAGTGGGTTATAAAGCATTGTAGAAAGCCTACTATTACACTGAAAGCACTATATATGCTTTATGTCTCCATTAAGAAATTTCCACTAGCCCTACCTTTGGCAGTTTGATGATGCTTATGGACCCCTTAGAAGAAAAAATTTTAAAATACATAAAACATAAGAGACTTAAAAAAGAAACCAACTACTTTGAAACACTGATATAAAATAAGAAATAAATTTGTATCACATCAATATCAGTGCTTCTTTTCAACCCATCAGTAAGGGTTCAATAATTTTTAAATGGTGATACATTTAAATGATATTTCAACATATCAGCAAAAAATTTTAAATAATGTGGAAACATCTATATCTGCTAATGTGAAAAGCTTGCTATAACTTATCTTTTGTTACATGCTTAAAATTGTCAATCTAAGTTTAATTTAGTGAAAGAAATCTATTTTTTGGCTAATGAACCCATAAAAAGTTGCCCAACATCATTAGTTATTAGGGAAATGTAAATTAAAGACATAACGAGATACTGCTTTAAACCCATGAGGGTGGTTATTATTAGAAAAAGGAAAAACAAAAACAGATGTTGGAGAGGATGTAGAAAAACTGGAACTCTAATGGGATAGCTGCAGTGGAAAACAGTTGGGCAAACTCAAAAATTTAAACACAGAATTACCAGCAGTCCCACTCCTAGGTATACAAGGCAAAGAAATGAAACCAGAAGCTCAAAGAAACACTTGCATACCAACGTTCATTGCAGAATTATTTACTTTAGCCAAAGAGAGAAACACATAATTGTCTACCCAGGGAATTAATGGATAAAAAGAATTCTGGTGTATACATACATACATACTCAACCATATAGAGAAAGAAAGTTATGAAACAAACCACAGTACAGATTACCTTTAAAAAGCATTATGCTTTGAAAGCCAAACTCAAAAGGGCATATAATGAATGACTCTGTTGTTGTTATGCTTGTGACCCATAGCAGAAAAGCTTCCTATCTTGACCCTTTCTTTCCCTAAAAACGACATCTAATAAAAACTAAAGACTTAGTTTCTAATGATTCAGGTATCAATAACAACAAGCAATATAACAGCATTTTTATAAAAAGGATTTTCATGACTACAGTGTGAACTAGTAGAAAAATCTTCCAACACTATCAGGCAATACATACAGATTTTAAATACATTTCAACCATAATCCTTAACATATTCTCTTTACAATGCTGCTGTTACTATGTGTCATCAAGTCAATTTTAACTTATAACAACCTTATAGGACACAACAGAACTGTCCCACAGTTTCCAAGGCTGTAAATTGTTACAAAAGCAGACTGTCATGCCCTCTTCTCTGAAGCAGTTGATGGGTTCCAATCACTGATCCTTCAGTTAGTAGTCTGAGTGCATAACCACTGTGGCACTGGTTCTTTTAGAAAGAACAGTTGCTTGTCAAAATACAGATTTTAAAAATGCACTTACCCTTCTATAACCATTGCAAGAGAACCCAATAAAATTGTGTGAATGACATGATAAATTACTTCGGGCCTTCCTCCAATTTGTCCATCTTCCAGAGTAATAGTGTCTTTCATGGACTCACCACTACAAAAAGGAATGAAATCAAAGATAGTATATATTACCTTTGAAGTCTACATTGAAAATTTTAATTTTTACATGTAAAGAAACATATATGGTTCTTGTTACATATTGAATTATATTCTGCCAAAGACATGTATAAATCCTAGTCTCTATATTTGTAATTATACTGTATCTGGAAATTTATTTCATTGTTAATAAACTGGTTTTAGTGTAGAATATTTTAATTTCTTTTAAGATATAAAAGAGCAAATTAAGCAACCAGGCAAAGATAGAAGAAGATATACTTTTACTCAAATAAATGTGCATGTTCAACTCTTTTTTTCCCCCCTCCAATTGCTGGAGAATAAGATGGGAACAGATCTTTTCCTCAATGGAATAGTCATTTTATTTTATAGCAACATGGAAATAATTTTTTACAGGGGCAGGGTGAGTGTTATTGACAAAAAGACAGAAGATATGTAAAATATGACAGATGTGATGTCCCATGAAGATCACCAAGCCAAGCTGAAAAGAGGCAAAGACTTTGATCTACAGAGAGCAGAGAAAGCCTTGGCGGAGAATGGGAGTCCTGAACTCAGAAGGCAAGCTTCCCAACAGGGAGCTCCGGTGGCTGAGTGGTAAGTAACTGCACGACCAACACAAACAACCCATGAGTTGTTCTGCAGGAGACAGATGAGCAATCTTCTTCCGTGTGATTTACTTCCTTCAAAAACACATTGGAGGGTCAGAGATATGGATTGGTTCTGACTCAGCATTACACAACAACAAGCCGCCTTACTGTGAGAAAATATCTGTTAGAAACATCCATTTGTGTTATTTTTTATATCAACACTAAATAACTCAAATATTGTTGTTATGTGTCATCTAGTCGACTACCACTCATACCTCATAGGCAACCCCATGACAACAGCTCTGAACTTGCCCTATCCTGAGCCAACTTCACCATCTCTGACACACCTGACCCCATTACTACAGTCACCGAATATTATTCCTTCATTATTTATAACTACGTATGTGTGTGTGTGTGTGTGTATGTATACAAATATACATGCACCTGATGTTTCATTTTAGCTGATATATGTGTGTGTGTGCAATGGGAAGATTTCATTCTGTCTCATGTTGATGTTTGTTAAAAGTTGCCTTTGAGCTGGTCCTCTGACCCCTGACCATCCCAGGTGCTTGGAGAATTGCTTTCACAGCGTTTTCAAGGCTGTGACCTTTCAGATGCAGATGACCCAGTTCGCCTTCTGTGGCCTCTGTAGGGAAACTTGAAATTAAGTTTTCAGGTGGCAATCAAGTATACAACCATTTCCACTACTCAAGTCTCCTTTTATCTGATTAACTTGTTTTATAATGAAATTTTATATGGCAATGAAGACTTAGAAATGGTCTCAGAAACTAAAATATACAAATATTTGAAACATATGAAGAATAAGCTTCTTGCTACAAGGCCACCAGAGCTCCCTAAAAATAAGTACTTTACATATTTTTGTAATACATTAAAAATACGATTGATTCTCCTAAGTACTTACTTAATTCTTCTAAAAAAAACTTGCATCACAGAAAAAAAACAAATAGTTAACACTAAAATATAGAAAGGTAATAAAGATGACTGTGTCAATCGCAAAAAAAAATCTTGAGATGGTGCTTGGAGGGATTCTTGACAGAGGAGCCAATTCATTGTAAAATTCCTTTAGAAAACAATAACAAAAAATAAGGCATTAGAGTCACAGATGTTTCAAATTATTAAACATAATAGCACACTTTATCTTAGTCAAAATTAAGTGCATTTTCCTAAGTCTACTTCCAAAAAACTAACAAGGCTCCAAATTTTATAAATGAAAAAATTATTAGTAATCCTTCTCAATAAAGCACATACTTTCATCACAGCTGCTTTAATATAAAACTACTGATTTTTATTAACAGATAATGCAACTGTCTCTAAAGCCCAATAGTTCAGAAGAAGACAACACAAAATTCAGGTGTCCAACCTTTTGTAGGGTCACTAGGAGTCATCTTGAGGACAGTGGCCACTATTGCTTACTGGGCAGTTGAAATGTAGCAAATTTGAATTGCAATATACGTTAAGTAAAAAAAAAACAAACAGATTTCAGAGAGTGGAGGGGAAAAAAGAGTGACTAAAGAAAGAATATAAAACTGAGCACTGAAGCATGAAACTTAAGGGGACAATATTCTGGCAGCATTTCTTCCAGGATAGACTTTGTTCTTGTGGCAGGCGATGGAATGTGGAACTGCTCCACAGCTCCCCTAGGCTATAACCTTCATGGGAGTTGTAATAATACATTTGTAATAAAAAACTTTAACAGATATGAAAAATACATTAGCTAATATATGCCTGGCTATTAAAAAGAAAAAATCTAAAAATAAGCTTCTGAACTGAAATTACTTGGCTGTTCTCTTCAATAAAAATATCATTTAAAACAATATAGGAGTCATAGTAACAATACTAGATGCAGAGCTGTGGGTGTGCGGCTTCAAGTTTATCCTAACTCAAGTTGTTAGGATCCACTGAGTTGGCTCGCGCTCATAATAACAAGCCCCTGCCTAATCCAGCACCATGCTGGCAGTCTCTGCTGTGCAGCTCACTGTTGTCAACCCAGCTTATTGAGAATCTTTCTCATTTATGCTGATCCTCTATTTTCCAAAGCATCATGTCCTTCATCAGCGCCTGGCCCCTCCTGACAAGCTGCCCACGGTATGTGAGAGGAAGTCTCACCGTCCTTGCTTCTAAGAAGCACTCTTGCTGCACCATCCTCCAAGACAGATTTGTTGGTTCTTTTAACAGTCATAGAAGATAGAATTGCTTTATAATTTTCCAAGTTGTAACCTTTGTAAGAGTTGTAGCAGTACTAGCAACAACCATTTACAGAGGCCTACAAGAGGCAGACGGTTCAATACTAATCTGAAGGCCATTCCTCTCTGTTTAACAAATGTATCAAAAATGGTATGTAATTTACTGAAGATGCCAAAAGGCGTTAGCAGAGTGCATAAGTAAGCATTAAATCCTAGAAAATCTTAGGGAGCGGTTATGAGTTTGCTGTGAGTTGAGAACTGACTCCGGGGTACCTGACATCACAACACAGTGAGAGATGCACTCCTTCCATTTAGTAAATTTACTCTGTATCTAAGAGTACAGAGTTAGTTACATAATCTAAAACTCACTTGGTCATATTTAGCCCAAACTTTACTTCAAGGAATTTCAGCATGTGCTCATTTTCTTTGTGTGGGACAAATATCTAAAAGGAGAAAAAAGTTAGTTAAGTAAGGAACTGTTAGCAACAAACGTATCCTATACTAGGCAGTGAAAACATAGCAAGACTGCCAAACAACAAATTACTAGTTAAATAATACATGATGTGACTGCTGCTGCTTGTTGTTGCGTACTGTCAAGTCAGAACTGACCCAGAGGGGACCCTCTGGCAAGTTTTCAGAGGCAGGTTAAGCACATGAGAGATGATTGCCCATTGTTCTCCCAGGAAGCAGCCGCTGGCCCTGAATCACGTGCCTTCAGGATTGTAGCACAGCTACTTGCCACTAGGTCACCAGGGTTCCCTAAAATGTGACTATGAAGCAAAATTTATTTGCATTAACAAAATCACATTACCTTATACTTAAGTGTAAAATTATAATGGAATAGTAACAAAATACCAACTTTATTTCACCTTGCTAAAGTTATGAAGGGAGATCTGGTGGCCTAATGGTAAAGAGCTGTGCCAAACCTAAGGCACTCAGTTTGAAACCATCACCTATTCCATGGGAAAAAGATGGGGAATCTCCTCCTGTGCAATTTACTGCCTCTGAAAATCTGCTGGAGGGTCAGTTGTAAGTAAATTCCAATCCAGCACGTAACAACCACTTAGTAATCCAGCCTAACAACTTGAATACCATTTATTTGCCTGAGTAATCTATTCCACATATTGCTTAGTGTTACTAGATTTTTTTAAATTATCAAAATTAGCTTTATCAACAATTTAAAGGTTTCAAGTAATCATAAAGCATAGGTAACAAAGGGGAGATCCTTGGCTAACAATGGAGATTTCCAGTTCCTTTTTCTCCTCCTTAAGCAAGTTCTGCCTTATATTAACATGGAGCTCTCTAATTCATGAACATACATTATTTACATAAAAGCTGTCATAGTGACAACAACATCTCAATTCTACACGGAGATAGAAAATTAGGTATACAACATTTTCTAAGGAATCATTCCCAAATATTATAGATTCTATGTTTGCTTGCCACAAACCAAACACACAAATGAACATTCCATTGATAAAGGTTCTCTTATTGGAAGATATAATTTATTTCTTGAAATGAGTACTTTAAAATTAAAAAATATACTGTACACACCATTCTGGCTCTAGTCATGATATTTAAAGAAAAATATTTTAATTATACCAAATTAGAGTTTAGAATGAAAATTAAGACTCTTCATCAACCAATGAGGTAGAATCAAATACCCAAAAACTTATTCAGTGAATATTACACAAGAGAAAAATAGTTCACTGAAATATTATCTAAAAGAACAGTTAACTAATCTTGATTCCCTGCCCTTAGATGCTTTTCCTTCTAGCTCCTTTTTTTTTAAATTTTTTAAAATTGGTATTTGTTTATTGTACTTAAGATCTGAACAATCTACAACCAGGAGAAGATAAATTAGATGAATGGGACATTCTAAGAATCAAATCCCTATGCACATCCAAAAACTTCTCCAACAGGGTAAAAAGGGAAGCCACAGACTGGGAAAAAGTATTTGGTAATGACATGTCAGATAAGGGACTTACATCTAGAATTTATAAAATACTTGAGCACCACAACAAGATAAAGGTAAATAATCCAATAGAAAAATGGGCACAGGATATGAACAGACACTTCACCAAAGAAGACATTCAGATGGCCAACAAGCACATGAAGAAATGTTCAAAATCCCTAGCTCTAAGAGAGATGCAAATCTAAACAACCATGAGATATCATCTCACCTAGACAGAGTAGCAAAATTTAACAGAACAGCAAGCAACAATGCTGGCGAGTTTGTGGAGAAACTGGAACCCTTATTCACTGTTGGTGGGAGTGTGGAATGGTACAACCACTGTGGAAGGCAGTATGGTGCTGTCTCAAAAAGTTGCAAACAGAGATACCATTTGACCCAGTAATTCCACTACTGGGAATATATCCCAAAGAGATCATAACTGACATCCAAGCGGATATATGCACACCCATATTTATTGCAGCTTTGTTCACAATAGCAAGGAATTGGAAACAACCCAGGTGCCCATCAACAAACGAATGAATGGATAGAGAAGCCGTGGTATATTCACACAATGGAATACTACGCTGCATTAAAAAAACAAGGAATTCATGCAATATTATTCAAAATGGGTGAGCCTGGAGGACACTATGCTGAGTGAAATATCTCAGTCACAAAAGGACAAATATTGCATGGAGCCACTGCTGTAAAATGAGACTGATATCCGGGTTGGGGTAAGACTGAGAAAAACTGGATAAATTGTGTATACTGCACTGAAACAGATGAGGGAGAGAATAACTGAAAGTGATGTATGATAGGGTATTACGGTTATCACAAGAGTCCACAATTAAGGTTGCATAGTCGAATGTACTTGGGGCAGTGGGAGGGGTGCGGGGGGATTGTGTATCAGGGAGGGAGTGTTTCTTTTACTTTTCAAAGAGAGGAGCAAACTGGGGGAAGGGGGAGGCCTGGGCAGGGAGAGAAGTGCAGCAATGGACAAATGGAAATCCAAAATCTCTGTAAATGCTCATTAAAATTATTAATAAAAAAAGAAAGAAATAAAAGAATGCCACTCAGTGGCTATCCCAGAAAAAAAAAATCTGAACACAGGATAAGCAAGAGATATAAACAACACTGGCTTTCCATCTGTTAAGGTGGCTACCAGGGTCCACATGGGAACTCTGCTGGCCTAGGGGGAAGCTGCTACGCTGCCAACCCCAACACGCACACGATCCCCAGCTACCCTGTGGGAGAAACATAGGCCATCTTCTCCCATGCAATTTTCTGCCTCAGAAAACCCACTGGGTCAGCTAGGCATTCATTTGGGCTCCACAAAACAACAAGGCTACAGAATCTGGCAGGTAACCACAGGGTTGGCAAACCAGGGTCATGGGCATCACACAGAGGAAGGCCTGACATCCCTCCTCCTTCATTCCCCTGGCACCTACCATTCTTATAACTGCGACAGCTCTCAGAACAAAAAGATAAAAGACTAACAGAGATGCCTCAGGCTAAAGGACTTCATTTCTTTGCTGGTCATGTTCTATAGCCACAGGACTCGAGGCTCAACATCCAATAAAGGCATTATGAAAGGAAGAAAAGGAGGCTGCATTGCTGTTCTTTATTGTAATGGAATACAGATGGAAGAGCTATCTCCGAGCTTTCTGGCACACATATCATCAGCCACTCTATTTTTGCTATATACATTAGTTTCCTTCTGTACAAGACAGGTTTAAAGATATGGCACTTATCTGAGAAATTTTTCTATTATGATTTGAGTATAAGTATATAAAACAAATTAGCTTTCCATTCAACCATTAAAATACATTTTGTTTTATATTGTTAATTAGAATACAAGGTAATCCCACTTTCCTGCTTTCTCCTTTTAATTTTCATTTCAGTTAACCCTTCCTAATTTAGCCTTAAGGAACTGCTACTCTTCTGATGTTATATGGTTGGTTATTCTAAGGACTGAATAATGACATCTTAAATGAAAAGAAAAATTAAGTGTATTTCTTAAAAAAAATGTATAGAGAATAGGACCAAAATCCTACTTTCTCACTCAATATGCTATGCATAATAATTGATCAACTCATAATTACACTGTAAAAAATCTATTATCTAAATAATCTCCCTAAAATTTAGTCCAGGTTATTATTCAGTTTGCTGTATTACATCAACCACAGATGGTTACTTACCTTCATTAGAATGTTCAGTGTCAATGTGAGAGTACACACCAAGTAGAAATGAATCACTTTTATCATTTTAGCTATATGAGTTCCTTTCTTCATATTTACCTTTGGGTAAAAAAGTATGTATGAACAAAGAAATAAATTATTATAATACCAACATTAATAATTAAATCACAAGAGTGTAAAAAACAATTCTAACTACCTGAATGCACTTAGCAAGCATTAAGGCTGCAACCAAACTCAATAAAGGAGACACCAATAAAGCTGGATTCTCAAACTGCAGCAAATATCCCAGAAACAGAGAAAACATGTAGATTTTATAAACTTCATGAACCTGTTGGGAAAAATAAAATGAATGAAAGTATATTAAATTTTACTGTACATATTTTCATGAGTTTTGTTCAGAATGGATTTGATGCCAGTTGTAAATGATTTAACATAATTCAAGACAGTATTTTCTCCCAGTAAATATTCAGTTTATATTTAATGTTATGGTGTGCAATTAATTCAATACTTAAAAAAAAACAAACAAACACAAAAAAAATCCACAAACACAGTAAAAAACTTTAAAACAAGAATTCTTGATCTACTCGTCTGGAAAAAAGCTGAAAAAGAAAACCAAGATTCTGAGGAGAAAGTAGTCCATAGGACTAATAGCTGACAGAAACCATAGCTTGATCTATTCAGAGTTGAGTTCTTTAAAATATCATCTCATCTACATGAGAGAAAATGGTCAAAGTTACTCTACAGCAAAAATGAGAAAGGGACAGGAAACTACAGTACTGGAAAAAGTACAACCAGAATGGACTTAGTGAGACAGATGTCATTCCTGTGAAAGAAGTAACTAATAGCATTAAGCAATTTATAAGGAAATTGTTACATGGCACCTAGTTTGCTGTATAAACTTTCAGTTTGAACACAATAAAACATTATAATAAGAAAATTATGCTTGGAGAACATTCTTGAGTCCCAGGCTCTAGCTTGACTTCACTTGGTATGGTATGCTCAGAGCTTCAAGTCCCACATTACTAAAATATATCTTGATAATACATTCGTAAAAATAACAAGAACTTGTAAAATTTACAATCTTTGTGGCAATTCTCAAAACTAGCCCAGTGTATATTTACTATGAAATACATACACAAAACATTTATTTTTGCTTTTTGGTCCAGTTATATAACAATGATTAAAAGACAGTTAAGTCAAAAGTCCTAATATAAGATTTCTCAGGATACTTTTACTTCTTAGATTTCTTTCCCAAACTTAAGTAGTATAATTATTTATTATGAAGTTAATTCATTTTGGAAAAGAACCATCAGGATCAAATAGAGACATTGTTGTAAGGTGCCATCAAGTAAATTTGAACTTACATGACCTTTTGTACAAAAGCTCACTTTTTGCCTAATGGTCCCATTCTCAGCATCTCTGCTGGCCGTCAGCCCACGGTTATAGTCATTGTGTCAATACACCCTGTTCAAGTATCTCCTATCCTTCTCTGATTTTCCACCATTCCACGCATGATTCCCCCTTCAAAGGATGGGCACCTTCTTATGACATGCCCAAAGTATGTGAAACAGAGTCATATTCTTCTTCTAAGGGATACTCTGGCTACAATTCCCAAACAAATTTGCTGGTTCTTTTAGTAATCCATTGAATAGTTGTCACTAAAATAAAAATTTTAAAATATCAATTCTTTGGTTTTCTTTATTCACTATCCACAGCTTTTACAAGCAATTGAAAATACCATGGTACACCTTAAACTATAAACCGACATCCCAGCTCTTTAGCACTTTTTAAAGGTCCCTGACGATAGATTTGTTGAATGCAATAGCTATTTTGATTTCTTGACTGCTGCTTCCATGAGTGTTCACTATTGATTCAAGCAAAATGAAATGTAATAACTTTAATAATCTTTTCTCTATCTATCATGATTTGTACAGTTGAGAGGATTTTTGGGTTTTGAGTGTTGAAATGTAGTTCCTATGGAAGGCTATAGTCTTTGATTGTCTCCAGCAAGTGCTTCAAGTCTTCACTTTCAGTAAACAAGTTCAAATCATTTGCCTTATGTAGACTGTTGATCCTCCAAACTTTATGTCACATTCTTCTTCTTATGATCTAGCCTCTTAGGTTTTCTGGTCAGCATAAAGATGAGAAATTATGGGGAGCTCTGGTGGCCTAGTGGCAAGAAGCTGTACTGGAATCCCAAAGGTACACGGTTCGAATCCACCAGATGCTCTGCTGGAGAAGGAGGGACAATTTCCTCCTGTACCAGTCAGATCTGATTTGACGGTACATGCA